GCGCCCGCTGCGCGCCCGCCCGCCCCGCCGCCCGGCCCGGGGCAGGGCTCCGGCCTCGGCCGCACCCCCGCCGGCTAGCCGCCGCCGCCTCCCCACAGCGGACTAGTCTGCGAGGGCGGCGACCAGCCCGGCTTATTTAAAAGGGGTGGGGACCCGACAAGCGCTGGGAGACGCAGCCACTGCGGGCCGAGAGCGCGGCCGGAGCTCCTCCTCCTTCCGTCGCCGCCTCCCGACTGAAGGCCGCTAGACGGCTCCTGCCAACCGGAACGCGCTCCGCGGTCACCTGGTGACGGGCAGCCAATCAGACTCGGATTTTCCTCCACGCGCCCGCCTACGGACCGGACACGTGACTCACGAAGCCCCGCCCCGTTTCTTAAGCTGCCCAGCGCGGACTCCATTCATAGCCGGCTGAGCCGGGTCGGGGTCCTCTTAGGGAGCCGCTGCCGCCGTTTGCCGCTCGGGGCCGCGCTTCGAAGCGGGCTCCGAAGGCCCGACCCAATAGAAAGCTGGTTTTGTCAGCAGAGGGGCTTCTCCATGTCTGACAGCTTGCCCTTGTTCACCCAAGTAAGTTTGCACTGGACTTTGCTGGGTTGGCTAAATGCTCCTCTCCCGTCTTCCCAGTGTTACGTCTTCGCTTGCAACTTGATCATAGCAACCCCGGGGCTCGCGTCTCACTCTCAATAAAGAGTTGTCACTGTGTCTTGCAGGAGACCCGAGAACACGTCACCCTTTAACTTCCTCGTATGTAAATAAGGACCAAACTAGTCCCTCCCAGCAAACTCCCCTTGCGCTTGTATTCTCCCATTCACGACAGGAGTTGCCAGATTTCCTTTCCTTAACTAGCGATGCGGAGAGCAGTTTGCTCCCAAAGTAGAGAACCACACGGTGGGATGCCCACAGTCCTAATTGATGGGGATGGCAGGGAACAATTAATATTTAGCAGGCACCTTGTGCTGGTCACCGTGCCAGCAGAGCTTAAGTCTAAAGCAATCCAATGTTATTATCTCCCATATTTTACTGGGCGGCAGTGGAAGGTGGGCGGGGAGGGGGGAGGGGAGGGGACTGCATACTTGCAGAAATTAAGTAACTTTCTCACGGTTACCTAACCTCTCAGGAAGATCTGGATTCCAGGTAATCCCGATACACACCTTACTACGATCTCAAAGTACCTGTTAAGGGAAGTCACACTTGGGGAAAGTGAAACAGACTGTTGGTGCTTGGTGATGTTTAGTTTAAGGAAGAGCAATCATTTCACTTTTTTTTTTTTTTTTAATGTCTTCCCTAGTTGAATCTTCACGTTCATTCTCTGTTCCTGGAGTGTATATCCAGCAGTCTAGGCTCCCAATCATTCAGGCAAATAGAAAAAAAAAAAAAATTCGGAGAATCCATCTATCTTAACTTGAGGTGCAAACACATAAATCTGACCCCAACGTCAGTGGGGTCAGGAGTTTGGATTTTATGCTGGAAATGGTTGTTGAGCATGAAGTTCAGATGTATTTATGGGTTATTCTGGACAATAAGAAGTAAAGGAAGACAGGACCAGTTTCAGGAGTGTATTCATTCACCTGGGAAGGAAAGACAGCCCCAACAAAGGACAGTGGTGACTTCGTGGAGACAAAGAATTTTTACTCATTTCCAAGGAAATAGGAAGTACTTAGCTGTTGGATATGGAGGGAGAACAAAAGTAGAAGGCAAAAAGAAAAAAAAAAGGTAGGTAAGGTTCTGATTTAGGGGGGTAGGTGGATCCCATGCCTGCCTTCTAGAGAGATAGGAGAAAAGGATAAGTTTATAGAAGAAAATAGTTTTTTGACATTGTTAAGCAATGTGTGGAGACGGATCTCTCAGAAAGATGGATGTGAACCTGTGTAAGCTGACTCCATCTCGTGATACCCTAACTTAAACTCTTTTAAAGATAGCGCTTATATTAAAACAGAAGAAGAGAGGTGGGGGGAAGTTGTTCCTGCAGTTTACACCCTGAAAGTGCTGCTTCAATTTACTAGTTACTTCCATGGAGCAACTTGGAATTCATGGTTTTAAAAAGTAAGGTGAAGGTGTTCAATGAAACGTAGTGGAAGTTATGTCAGAGAACACAGGAATTGATTGAAGTCACGGGTGCAGGAGTGATGGTTACGTTAAGATGTATATTAAAAAGGAGGTAGCGTGGCAAGGAAGGGAGCATGGAGAATGTGATGATTTAAGTGGTATTAAGGGAAGGCTGAAAAGATCCTGATCGTGTGGGTCTCGGTGAACAGGGTCTCACTGTGTAATGCCTTACTGAACAGAGTAGAAATCCGCATTGGCTCTGGAGCGGGATGGTTGGGGGTGTGTGAATGAAGGAGTTAAATGGCGAGGAGCGGGGATAGAGGTAAATAGGTGATGAGCAAGTGTAAAGGTTGCTCTTCTCGTCGCTGCCACAAAATACCAGACAGAAGCAACTGAAGATTTATTTTGGCTCATATTTTAGTGAGTACAGTCTGTCATGGTGGGGAAGGCATAGTAGCCAGAGCTCGTAGCTACCACTGCTCACATTCTGGTGCATTGGGAGGCAGAGAGCTCAAGGCCCTCCCTGAACAACCCATTCTGCTAGCTAGATGCACACCAAAGGTTCTACCATTTCCACCAAATAGCACCAGCTGAGAACCACGTGCTCCCTGCTTATAAGGAACATTTCACTTTGAAACCACAACAGAGGATGAAGCAAAGCTAAGAGAGAGTCGTGAGCTTACGGCTAGCCTGGGTTGTATAGTGAGACCTTACTGCAAAAGCTGAGGGAAGGGTGGGAGGGGAGAAGGTAGAGGGTACATGACTAAAGAAATGTTTTCTTTTCAATATGAAAGAAAAAGAAAGATGAACATAATTTTTTTTTTCGTATTAAAGAGTAAGAGCGTATGTGTTCAACAAATTCCAAACTTAGAAGAAAAGGGAGGATTAATGAATCAGTGACCCCCAGAAGGCAGAGTGTGTGCAGTCCCAATCTGGGATGGGTAACTTTTGAGAAGCAGAAGCAAGGACCAAGAAAAGACCTATGTGGCATGGAGCCATTTCTGGTGGGGAACTTTTGGGAACATTCACTTCATGACTCCTGTTTTCCTATAGGTTACAGTTTGGAAAATAGCCTGTGGAAACAGGGAAGGATGAGTAGAAGTCTGTACCTCCCAGAAATCATGTTATATTTAATGAAGACCAAATGCCATTTTACTAGCTAGTTTTATGTCAACTTGACACAAGGTGAAGTCGTCTGGGAAGAGGGGGTCTCCTTTGAGAAAATGCCTGCATAAGATGAGGCTATAGGCAAGCCTGCAAGGCAGTTTCTTAATTAGTGATGGAGTGTCCAGCTCATTGTGGGTGGTGCCATCCCTGAGCTTGAGGTCCTGGGTTCTATAAGAAAGCAGGCTGAGCAAGGCATAAGGAGCATCACCCCTCCTTGGCCTCTGTATTAGCTCCTGCCTCCACGTTCCTGCCCTGTTTGAGTTCCTGTCCTGACTTCCTTCCATGATAAAGTGTCCTGACTTCCTTCCATGAAAAACAGTTGTTTTTGGTCACAGCCCTAACTAAGAAGCCCTAATAGTAGCTCTAGCTAAGACACCACTACACCTCAATATTGGTAAAGAATTGGCTTCAGGATCCTCTACGGATACCACAATTAGAGGAAGCTGAAGCCTTTATATGATACAGCACAGTATTTACGTATAAGCTACCCGTGTGCATTTTCCCATGTATTTCAAATCTCCAGAGTTACCTATAACACCTAATAGAATGTCAGGGCCATATGTTTAAGTGCTATGTTGTATTATTTATAGAACAATGACAAGAAAGATGTACATGCTTGGCAGATGTGCAAGTTATTTCAAATATTGTCAGTCTACTGCTCGTTGAATCCATGGAGGCAGAAGCCACAGATAAGAAGACTAATGTCTCTTCCCTCAAATGTGAGTAAATTGAAAAGATATTTGAAAAAAATGTATGAAGCTCAACTTTAAACACTATATCAAGAAAGTGGAAGTAACTTTGGTTATTCTTTCCAAGCAGTTAAAAGAAATGGCAACAACTTTTGAGGAAGAGTAAACAGAAATTAAGGAAATACAATGTATTTGTATAAAGTATAGACCTTTGCAAACCCTCTAGCCACATATAAGACCACAAAAAGGACCCAAGGGAGTATTAGCCTTTTAAAGGGAAGAAAAGGTTACTTCAAAAGGCAAGGGAGTGGAGGGGATTAATTTTTAATTTAATTCAGTTTAAAGTATTTACTTAAGCATTGATGACAAAAAAAAATGAACAATACATTAAAATGTGAGAAACCACAATGGAGTGAGATTGTACAATGAAGCTTTATTTCTCTCACCAATGTCTAGCTAAACCCTCAAGACCCAGTGACTGCATTTTATGGAGATCCTATTGTCTGAAGTGCTAGAAACCATTACATAGCATTTTAGATGCTGCCTGTTGACTTGAAGTCATGCCTAAGATCAAGTTACAAAATAGTGCCAGCACATAACAGAAGACACACACAAATAGATATGCAGGATCTCAAAAGTTAAATAATTTAAAGCGTAAACAAAAATTCTGTGACCCATTGC